CAGACTCAGCAGGGTGACTGTTCTGGCACGCTTAGATTTTGAGGTGGTGTAAGGCTAACTGTCAAACTATTTCCTCTGAAGATGCTGAGATGAAAGTGAAGTAATAGGTCCTTTGGCCATGAACAGCTGATTGAATTTCACCAATTCATAATATTAAACTACCTAGTATTACTGAACAGCCCCAATAATTGGCAAAAATCTGCTCCCACAGAAGCTATGGTCATTTAATTGATCCTCCTCTGTGGGAGGGGCAGAAAGTTGCATTGGATTAGCTTGAACAGCTGAACTGCCACCTTGGGGATGACAGACCCACCCACTGAGTTGGACTGAGTCTTCCCTACACTCACTTTACTCTTTGCCTCAAACTTCTTTCAGCATGTGCAAGGACTCATTTTACCACAGTAGTGTCATGCATTCTCATGTGTTCCCTGGCTTTGCTGACTCCCTGTTCCATGGGACACATTCTTTAACACAGCAGTGCTGAGCAGCTGGGCGACCCCAGTTTGTGAAGTCTCAGCTATTGGAGCAACACCTTAACTGCTCATCACGTCCTCAGTAGATGCACAGAAGCCCTCGTTCAGTAAAACTGTTTCAGCCGTGCTCTGAGAATACTGACTGAACTCTTCTCCATCTGTCTTTGACTTTTCTCCTTCAACAACTCCTGTAGCTGTTTCTATAACAGATGAAGACCAGCTTGATCAGAACTGTCTTCACTGCCCCTAGAAGGAGATGCTCCTCCACATGGGAGGGGTTCACTTTCATTTCTTTGACTTTACCTGGATCAGCAAGGCATCTTTGTGTTTTTCAAATGATTCAACCTTTGCAGGACCCTGATAGAGTGTTGAGCTTGTTCTGTGTGCTGTTGGTGCTCTGTTCTTAGAAAACAGTGCCACTGTCTAAAGACGTGAACACACCCCTCAAGGTCCCTTTCCTTTACACAGTTGCTCAGAACCATAAAGCACTGCTCGTGACCTCATCCTGGTTCTGCCAGAATCCCATACTTCTTACACAATTTCTCCTTTTTCTTTGAACACATCCATCTAACATCTGTACTAAGTCCTCAAATGTATCAGCGTACATGAAAGGCTGAGATTTAACTGTACATGTTATATTAGACTGGGAAACCCCCACACATTTGGGTAAACAGGAAAAAACTCCTGCACATTTATCTGGGGAACCTTGTCCCACAGAAATAACCCATGAACTACCCCTCATAATGACGGAACCACAAACGGCGTTGTGCCGACTCCTCACAACCAACTATTACAGAACCCAAAATCGATAGGACTTCTATGGCTAACTTCACTGCCTATGACTCGTGTGACCATAGTCACTGACCAAAACACAAAACACAAGACAAAACACAAACTGAACCTCTTCTGTTTGGCATTTAAGCTCTTTTCGTCTCAGGGCTCACCTTTTGCTGCAGTCAAAAAAGGAGTTGGACCTGATCCCATCCTCGTCAACATTGATGGAAGTCTTTGATCTTGCTATGGAAGATATTCAGGAAACCAGAGTTCACAGAAAAGAGTGTTATGTTCTCTGCCATCTCTGCCCATCTTCACCCAGTCTGAACAGAAGCTCAGACACAGCTTTTATACTCTCCCATTGACTCCCCACCAACCACTCCCCCCATGACCCTTAGTAATATCATAAGCAGAAGTCAGTGTTCTCAGAGCCTTAGATCCTGTTGGAGTCGGCTTTCTCAGGGACTCAGATACTACTGTAAATGCCTCAGTGTCGTGAACTGAGTGTTCTGTCCCAGAAGGCCAAATCATCCTTAGGGGTTGTTGTTAAGGCCATTTGGACGGAACACAGTTGACTTCTCTAAACAATAAACAGTAATAGAGTAAAACAAGGAAAAAGAACAGAAAACTAGAAAATAAAAACAGCTCCCAACACAACATAGAAAAACATTTTGCGACATAATGTGACATAATTTTTCACGATAATGCTAAATATTGTCCACCCTTATCAGCAAACACAGGAGTGTAGAGGATCCCAGAGTGAATAAAAGAGGCTCCAATAGGGAGAGCGGCAAGTCTTTTATTGGTGTTAGAGGTTTAAAGGTGTTGTTCTGCTGGTTTCTCTCTGGTGGGATCGCTGTTCAAGAGATGGATTTGATTGGCTGTAGCATAGAAGTGGAGTTAATAGTCTGTATTCTTCTGTGGAGCACTCTTTTCCTCAGGAGGGGCTTGTAGAGTCTTCTGTAGATGATCTTCTTTCCAGTGGAGCGTCTCTCTCCTCTCCTCTTTTCTCTGAGCCCTTCTCTGCTGATGAGGATCAGGTGCTCTTTCACAGGTTCGGGAGTTCTCTAGCCGAGTTCTTCTCTTTCCATCTGCTTGTTCTCTGTTCTTTCTGCAGTCTTTCTGTGGAGCACTCTTTTCCTCAGGAGGGGTTTGGTGATGCTTCTGCAGATGTCCTGCTTTCAAATAACATATTTCTCTCCTCTCCTCCTTTCTCTGTGCCCTCCTCTACTGATGAGGATCAGATTCAGGTGCTCTTTCACAGGTTCCTGCGTTCTCTGACTGTGTTCTCCTTTTTCCAAATTCTTGTTGATGTCTCCACTGACTTACTTCTCAGGCTGCTCTAAAGGTTTTTTTCAGTGGTCAGTATGAAGTGTTGGTTCTTCTTCCACTCTTCCACTGCCTGTTCTCATTCCTGTATTTCTTATGGTGGTGTCTCTCTCCAGTCTGTCCGTCATCAGACTCTACAGAGCGGTCATCGTGCTGCCACCAGTGCGGTTTTCTCACGGTCCGGTCATTTCTGTCAGTGCGTGAAGGTGCAGACTGAGCAGGATGTCCTCTCCTTCCTCTTTCGCTCACACGTCCTCCGTTGCGTGAAGGAGGTTGTGGAGCGTCACTCCTCTGGACTCTGTGCTCTCTCTGCCAGCACTGGGCAGCTCCTCTCCAGCGAGACTCATCCATTCTCTGTCTGACTGAATGGGCTCCTCTGTCTCTCTGGTTTTCTGCTGGTCTAGATGTTCTCAGATGTTCTCCCTTCTTTCTGATGTCTTTCTGTGGAGCACTCTTCTCCTCAGGAGGGGCTTGCAGACTCTTCTGCAGATGTTCTCGTGTCCAATGATTTCTCTGTCCCCTCCTCTGCTGATGAGGAACAGTTTCCGGTGCTCTTCCACAGGTTCCTACGTTCTCAGACTGTGTTCTAGTCTTTCCATATCCTGGTTGATGTCTCTGGTCTACAGCTCCCACTCGGATGCCTCTGTCTGATGTTCTTCTGCTGTTCTCCTCTTCATGTCCTTCATTTTGTCTCTCTTCTTTGTCCTTTATATAGTTTATTGTTCGACCCTTGCCGCGTGTTCCTCTCCTGGTGTTCTTCTGATGTTGGTCTGTTTTGGTCTCATTCACAGGAGCGTCTTTCTTCAGGTCTTCTATTTCAGCTGGTAGAAAAAAATCAGAGACATCAGCAACAAAGCTCATCTCCAATAATCTAACCTGGAACAAAGACTTTCTGACTAATATTTAAAGGATGAAAGTTGTTAACATGTTTGTTTAATTACAAACACAGACACCCGTATCAGATCAGTGCCATCTGGACATTTTACTCACCAGACTGGTTGATGTTTCTTTCAGTCTCATCCACGATATCAGCCCAGCTTTTAATGGGTTCGGGATCAGCCGTCATTTCCACATCTTTTCCTGCAATAAAACGGATTTTCCAGTAAAAAAGAGATTTGATTATTTCAGTTTTTGAAGGTTCTTGTGACATTTGAAGATGGTCTTTTGGTTTCTTAGCCAGAGTTTAACTGCTCCATTCTTAACAAATTATGGTTTCTATTACTCACCAAGAGCTTGTTGGACAGTAGTCTCTGCCTCATCCAGCTGAACGTCCATCAGTTTAAGGTCATCAGCCTTGACTTCTTCATCAGCCTCCTTGGGAATCTCATTTCCTGCTTCAGATGTTGAAAGAATTAGCAGCTGTACAGCTTCTTATGTCCTCAATATATGTTTTGATTTTACTCACCAAGACTGTGGTCAACTGATCTCTGGACATCATTCAGTAGATCTGCCATCAGACTTTCAATGGTCTTCCAATCTGCTTCTTCATCAGACGTCTTTTCCACATCTTTTCATGCAGGAGACAGAATCACTCATTAAATCCTGATGTAAGTCAGATATTTGGTATTATGTATGCAATATTATGTATTATTAGTTGGTGAAAGCTGAAGATGGTGGTTGGAGGAGGAGGAGCTGATATTGTTATATTAAATCCTGTTTTACCTTTTTAACAGTTTAACTGTGATTTTCTTCATGATATCTAGTGTTTATTTGCTCTACTCACCCAGACGATGGTCGTTAGATGGGTCAGTTTCATCCAGGTGAGTCTGCATGTTGAGTCCAGAAGCTTCAGCCTCAGCATCTGCAGAGCTCATCACTTCACATCCTGATTCAAAGAAACAGGAACAGAATTTTCTATAAATTCTTGATTAAACATCCCCAAAAGCTAATATTACTGCTCTATAATATAATAGTGATGGTAAAGTGAAGGAATCAGTGACTGAGCTGATGCCTTTCTTTAGCGCTGGAGGACTGTAATACTACAAGTGTCTTGAATGTCATGTGAATAGTTTTATTAAGCATTTATTATTCAGTATACTTTTATAAATCAATATATTTTTTTAAATCAGTGTCATTTTGTGTTTATTATGTACTATTAATTTGTATTTCTTACCCAGCGATTCTGCCTCGATCCTGTCGACGAAAAGGAGCATCAGCTGTTTAACGGCTTCAACCTCAGCGTCAGTGAGGGTCGCCTCAAACATCTCGTCTCCTGCTTTAATATAAATAAATATCACAATAATTAAAATACCATAACCAATAACCATATAAACAGCTTTTTTTTAGATGTATGAATATCTTTAGAAATAATGAATAATAATAATATAATAATAATATTATTATGAATTAATATTATTATAGTATTATCTCATTGATTTTTAGCTTGTTATGGTTTTCGTTCTTACCCAGATTGTCGGTCTCTGTGTCCTGAAGGTCAGTGTCCATTTGTTCTTTTATCCCCTCAGCTTCACCGTCTGTGTCCGTCACCTCAAGGATCTCCTCTTCTACTGTAACATGAATTAAATATCCACAATTACAGAAATGAAGAGCCGAGCGTTTCCCCAGTATAATCTCACCTGGAGCTCAGAGTTTACAGATTCAGAGAGTTCAGTGTTTCTGCTGTAGTGCTGGTCCTCAGTCGCTGATCTGTATGTCTTTGATCTGACTCTCTCAGTGGTTCAGCACTCAGGACTCTAAAGTTTGTTGTGTGTGTTGGATGTTTAGTACCTTCAGTAAGAGGTTCAACATCCACCTTCATGTCATGTTTTCTTGTTTTATCATGAAATAGTTTCAGCTTTTGCTCTTACAAAAAAGAGAAAAATGTCATTTTCACATTTTAAGAGTTCAGCTGTGATTTTCTTCATGATATCTAGTGTTAATCTGCACTACTCACCCAGAGGACGGTCATCAGGTGTGTCCACTTCATCCAAATAAGCCTGCATGGTGAGCGTCGGGGCTTCAGGCTCAGTGTCTGTAACATCCATCACTTCACATCCTAATTCAAAGAAAAAGTGAGACAGTTTTCTCTGAATTCTTGATGAAACGTCACCAACAGTTAGTATTACTTCTCAATAGTGAAGCTAAAGTGAAGGAATCTGTGAATGCCTTTCTATAATAGACGTGTCATGAACTTCATGTTAATAGTTTTATTAAGCATTTATTATTCAGTATATCATTTTGCTTTTATTATGTATTATTAATCTCTATTTCTTACCCATCGATTCTGCTTCGATCCTGTCGACGAAAAGGAGCATCAGCTGTTTAACGGCTTCAACCTCAGCGTCAGTGAGGGTCGCCTCAAACATCTCGTCTCCTGCTTTAACATCAATAAATATCACAACAATCGAGATCAATAACCATGTGAACAGCTTTATTTTAGAAGTATGAACAAATATATTGCAGTATATCTTTATGAATTCATATTTTTACAGTGAGATCTCTGTGATTGGTAGCTTGTTATGGTCATTTCTAACCCAGATTTTCGGTCTCTGTGTCCTGAAGGTCAGTGTCCATTCGGTCTTTAATGACCTCTGCTTATTAGTTTTCTTATTAAGTCCTGCTTTTATATTAATTGAATATCAGCGGTTCTGCTGTTTTATCATCACACCATCAGCTCAGTTCCTGAACTTACCCAGATGTTTCTCCACCATTTCCTCCGTCTCATCCAGATGAATGTCCATCAGCTCCTGGATGGCCTCGGCCTCGACTTCAGCAGCTGTCATGTTCAACTTCTCACTCTCTGTTTTCACAGGAATAGATACTGTCAGATCTCCAGCTTTGACATTTTCATGATATCAGTTATTAATGACTATTAGTGACTTAATGATTTTCCATTTTCAAGGGTTGTTTTATGAAATATATTGATAGTAGTTGTGAAACTTTAGTGATATTGATAATTGCATGTTTATGTGGATGTTTGGTGGTCAGAGCTGGACTAATTCATCTGAGCATTATTATCAGTGGTTTTTATTCCTGTTATTAGTTCTGTTTTCTATTTTGGCAGATATTAACGTCCATTTCTTACCCAGAGGTTGGATGTTAGCTGCGTCTTTCTCATCCAGGTCAGTGGACATTAGTGGTTTTATGGCTTCGGCCTCGGCTTCAGCCTCAGTCTGATCCAGTGAATATTCCGTTAAATCCCTGCTGGATTCAGGAATGTCTTCGCTGGTTTTAAGGTCCTCATGTAGAGGAGCTCCCGTCTTCTCTAACATCACAGAGGAAATAGTCTCCAAGCTGAGAGACACCAGACCTGCTGGGACGTGTGGAGCATGGCTCTCCTCCTCTCCCGCTGCTGGCTGTTGGCTTGCTTGGCTTTCCTCTGCTCTTTCTACTTCCTTTATCTTTTCTTTTCTCTGTTGTCCCTTCGTTTTTCTTGTTCTCCACTTTTTCTTCGTCTTGATTTTGCCTCCACCTTTCTTCACTTCATCTCCATTCGCTTTATTCTCTGTGTCCGAGTCGGACTGTTGGCCTCCGCAACACCAGAACAAGAGGCAGCTCATTGTGCTGCTGGTCTTCTCTGGCGCCTCAACACAGAATGATCTGAAGTGGCAGTTTGTGTGGAATGTATCTGCATCATAGACATTATGACATCACAGTGTTATGATGTCATAAAGACAACATTCAACTCTGTAGGTGCTGCAGTTAAATAAATGTGAATAAATGTAAAAATGGCGTTTGTGTGTTGAATTATGAGTTTTTTTTCAACATCTTAACATTTGAAGCTTATTACATACTAAGGCTTATTATTCAGTGACTTTAGGGACTTCAATGCACACTAATGGGGCTTTTCTTGGGTTGTACAAGTGTGTAATAAAGCTTTGGCTTAGTAAGGGGTTCATTTCCCCGTCACCTACAGCTCAATACAAATGTATTACCAAAACTGCTTTAAGCTGTTTGTTTTGTCAGTTAATGTGCTTTGACTGTACAACACGTTATTACACTGTAATAAATACACAAACATAAATACAGTAAAAATGAAAAAGAACTGTTTTCAAAACTGTTCCTTACTTCTCGCTGCTTTCCAGCCATCACATGCCTTTGTTCATTTTCATCAGCTGTACATCTGATTTGACATGATAACGCACCACATGATCATGTCAAACAACATCATTTTATACATTTGATTTCACTTGATTACATAATGTAGAGGAAAGAACCTCAGATCCCTAAACAAAGATGGACATATAGATATGAAAAACAACATTTAACTAGTGGAGTAAATATGTTGCATTCAACTTTGTTGTTTACGTAATTTAACTGTCAAGTTACAAAGAAATTATGTTGCATGCAACTTACAACCTGTAACTACAGACCTGCCCACCTGTACGCATTTACACATCAGAGTACGCTGGTTTGATTTACCACTCTATGCACAAAGCTGTTGATGTCTGTGAGTTCAGTTGTGCTAAGATTATCAGTGCTTACAGAACAGAACGACTGAATTTTCACTAGAAAGAGCGTAATTAGTCCTGTTCAACTGGATTTAGTTCAGTCTAATATGTGAAATATTGAATAAAAATCACTGTTTATATGTGGCACTGCTGGGACTTTGGTCTGTTCCGACTTAACAAATCCCCAAAAAACAAAATACTGTGATATTTATTATTTGTCTTGAAAATATCAAGTATCCTGATGCTAAGTCCAGTAGTAGGGCTACTGCTATCCTAACAAATAAAAATATCCCCTTTATTATTGAAAAAGAAGAGAACGAGTCAGAAGGTAGATATACAACCACATTTCCAAAAAAGTTGGGACGCTGTGTGAAATACTAATAAAAACAGAATGTAATGATGTGCAAATCATTTAAACCCTATATTTAATTGAAAGTAGTACAAAGACGTCACTCTAAAGAAACTGAGAAACTGAGGCCGTTTTGAATCTGATGCCAGCAACACATTTCAAAATAGCTGGAAGAGCGGCAACAAAAGACTGGTCAATATTGTGTGATGCTAAAAAACACCTGGTGGAACATCTCACAAATAATTGGATTTATTTGCAGCTGGTCAGTGATATAAATGGATATTGTAGCACGGCACGTGCTACCCTGGGCTCAAGGAACACGCTGGAGGCAGGGTTCAGTGCAGCAGCCATATTTCTTTTATTCACACCACAAAATAAACAACTCAAACAGCCAAACTGTGCTCTATGCTAGGCTGTCCACTTTTCAGTGGCTTCAGCCAGACTTTTCAGTCCTTCTTCAAAATAAGCTTTTCAGCTCCTCAGTCTTTTGCTGCTGCTGCTCGTCCCTTTCTCTCGCTCCGTTCCCTCTCAGCTCTTTTAAAAAGCTCGGGACTCGCTCCTTCCCCTGGTGCCTCTCGTTGCTCCGCCCCCTCCCCACTCACGGCTCTCTCCCTGCCGTCGCGGCCGAGGTTCGTCGCCGCTGGGTGTTCGGGCCCCGACGAAGACGGCCACGAGAGCCGGCAGGAGGCGGGCGCATGCCACAGGTATAAAAAGAGCTTCTCAGAGAGGTGGGGAGTAAAGATGCTGACCACTCTGTGAAAGACACGGGCAACAGGACAAGAATAACATTTCTCAATGTACAATAGCAAAGAACTTGGAGATTCATCAACTATGGAACATTGTGTCATTAAAGATTCAGAGAATCCAGAAAAGCCTCTGTGTGCTAAGTCCAAGGCTGAAAACCATTATTGGCTGACAGGAATCACTGCATGGGCTCAGAAACACTTCTGAAAACCACTGTCTGTGAACAAAGTTCCTCACTGCCTCCACAAACGCAAGAGTAGTATGAACGAGTGATTTATGACCCCCCACCCTGAGTGATTTATGCCCCATGATTTATGACCCCCTATAATTGACAGGCCAATATGATTGACAAGGTGTCTGTGTCCCCACCACCACCCCCCAAAAGTGTGTCTCTAGCCATGTGTCAAAGACGTCTGGTAGCTTTCACAAAATTGTTTGATGTGAGTAAGTTTCCTGTATCGCTAGACTAACCGTCTGGAGACATTGGTAGTGGGTGATCTCAAAATATTTAATGTAAGGCATTTTAAAGGTTTAATTTCAGATTGTGGTTTTAAATTTCAAGGGGGGGGGGGGGGGGTTTGTGGTGATGATGCAGTAATCACGCCTATCAGCACGGGCCAATCAAACACAAAGGACTGCAACATGCGACGGCATGGGCGTGTCTTGAGAAAATGGCATATATAGCCGACCGAAAGTAACACATTTTCACCAGCGACCTTTCAGTTTGAAGCAACATAGCCTACGTTCTTGGTAAGTCTGTGTTCTACAGACTTTACCCAAATTTCTTGTAAGTAAATTTTGCAAGTATTTCAACAGTGTTTGAACTTTTTGCTTAAAAGGACTTTCTTGGTCAAGGTGCATCTGAGCTTGAAACAGTCTTTGCTATTAGAAGCATTGAGGGATTGTCTCAACTTGGTAAGTTTTTGTCATCGTTATTTATTTATTTTTTCATTATTTGTAGTTGTTGTTGTTCATCTAAATAATGCACACATTTCTGTCGTTACAGAATCTGCAAATACGTTGGATTATGAGAATCCTCTTGGTGAGTCAGCGGTTGTGTTATAGTGTTGTCTGTGTTAGTTGTTGAGGGGTTAATACTAATTCATATATTTTCTGTAGTAGGTTTAACCCGTTTGGTTGAAACAACGGGGCTCTTAACACCACCCGGATTTGATGCTGTACTCAGTACTTCTGCGGGGTGTGAACCACGTGGTGTGGTAGACGAAATCACGTCTAGATCGCCAGCGTTTAGGCCCAGTTCGACAGGTAGCCCTGAAGCATCACGGGGCGACTGACGATAATCCAGCTTCACACGGGAAACGTCCAAGGAAATGTCTGAGTGCAAATGACAAGACGGTTTCACATGGAAAGCACCTTAGGTTTGATGATGACCACAAATCTGTAGGTACGAAAAATAAGTGGTGTCTATTCACAGCATTAAACCAACATTAGCAGTTGTGTGTAATGTTTTTCTTAAACTTTTGGAGATTTGCACGCCAGTGTCCGACCGGTGTATGGTGAATGTGTACAGAGGGCTGTTGATCCTGATCTGGACATCGCTGGATGGTCTGATGAGTTGTTGGACACTTGGAACGAAAACAGCTTTTCAGAAAAGGTGGATGAAACAGTGGTTACCGGACCAAATAACAAAGTGTGTAACAAAGCCCAAACCCCACAGATGTGCTTCTGGATGTTGAGTTCATTGCGGTGAAGAATTAATATCAGACACCACACATGAATGTTACATACAGCCCATCAAATTACAGGAGCCCAGCAATTCGTACATCTTTTTTGACTTTGAATCCCGATATAAAAAAGGCAAGCATGAGGCTAATTTTGTCTGGGCAATTACATTTGATGGCAGAGAGTTCACAGCAGAAGGGTCTGACTGTGTAGAACTACTCATCAAAGAGTTTAGACGGCCCAAGTATCAGGGTTACACATGTTTGGCACACAACGCAGCTGGTTTTGACAATTTCCTATTGCTGGAATATTTTTCTAAAGTGGGGATTGCTGTCAAGATCACAATGATGGGGTGTAGACTGACCTCTATATATGACGAAACGTACAAACAGCGCTACATAGACTCGTACTCATTCATCCCAATGCGTTTAGCCAAAACGGTGTCAGCATTAAATCTGTCATGTTCAGAGAAAGGGTATTTTCCACACAAATCTAATCTGAAACAAAGTGAAAACTATGTGGGCCCATACCCAGACAAGAGCTTTTACGGCTATGACACAATGAATGACAAAGACAGCAAGTTGTTCGATGAGTGGTACAGCACAGTCTCTGGCGGCGTGTTTGACTTCAAAAAGGAGTTGTATGTTTACGGTAGAAACGATGTTGTTTTACTACGAGAAGCATGTATTAAATATGGCGACGGGTTCATTCAGGGTACAAAGCAGGACCCGTTTAATATCACAACTTCAGCCTCGTGTTGCACGGCGGTGTACAAAACACATCTTCTTCCTAGAGATACACATAACAACACGTACATTAACCAACACAAGACATTCTCATATGTTTCCACTGAACGGCTCGAGTTTAAGAGTACAAGAGACGCTGACGTTCATCATGCCCTAACTCATGGGGAAATGAAGCTTGGTGCGTATTATATGGATGGGTATTATGAAAAGGGTGGTGTATGAAAAGCCTTAGTATTTAATGGCTGCATGCATCATGGTCATGAATGTCGTTACAACCCAAACCAGACCCATCCTATGTCAAAGGTGTTGTACGGCGAATTGCGAAAACAGTTTGTCAGCAAGGTAGAGACACTTGTTCGTGCATGTGGTCTGGAGGTTGAAGTAATGTGGGAATGCCAGTGGGCCGATGCTAAGAGAAATGATTTGGATGTTGTAGCATTTATGTCTACATACACAGCACCTGAAAGAGACGCACTCTTTGGGGGTAGAACTAATGCTTACAAACTGTACTACAAAAGCAAAAGACTGAAAAAATCTGATATTTGGACTTCACCAGTTTGTACCCATTCTGTCAGGCTAGGAAGAAATCCCCCGTAGGACCACTCAAATCATTTTCAAAAATTTCAGACTCATTGTGGAATACTACGGACTTGTC